TGGCTACTAGATTTGAACCCAACAAAGCTTTCGAACCCAGGCATGCTAGGTTCAAAGGAACCTAGCAACACCTATTGGGTTCAATTGAACCTAGTGACAACTGGGTTCCATCGAACCCAACGATTGTTAGGTTTGAAGTTCTTGGCTTTGCTTCCTTGCTCCACCTTGGGGATCTCAAATAGCTGAGAAAAGTATAAAAGTTTGTAGAAGGCAAAGGAAAGGAAGAAGAAAGAGAACCTAGATCTGGTGTTGGGGAAGAGAGAGAGAAAATGAAAGGATTTAGATTTTAGAGGATGAAGATAAGGATAATATGATCATTTTATTATGTTTAAAGATTATTTAGATAATTTTTTTTCCAAGTCATGTATTTTGTCATGTTGCAAGTTCCACGTATTTTATTTATTGAAAAAACATGCCTTTGTTGTTAGTTAACGTGCCACATCAACAAAAATTTAACGAAAAGACTAAGTTGGGGTCACAATGGTAAACAATAGGGAGTAAATTGAGGGTCCGTATGATAGTTGAAAGATGAAAATGGGGGTTTAACCTAATTTTTTTAAGTGAAAGTAATAAATTTTGAATTTAGACTAAATAATATTTAAGTATGTATGTATAATATATATAAAATTAAAAAAAATTATTTTCAAGTGTAACTCAAAATAAAAATAAAAATAAAATAATACTAATTTCATGGTCAATGGATATTAATATATGAGTTTCTTATTTTATAGTTTAAATTATATTGGATTATAAAACATAAACAGTTAGTTAGAAGAGGGAACTCCCAATATCAAAGGTTTTACCTTCATATAATAGTTAAAGTTGTGTAGTTTTAAATAATTTAAATTGTACAATTCTTTTTCATTAGTATATATAATTTTCAGTTTTGCAAGTTTGACTAAAAAACCAAAATAATGACGTGGGGTAGGGGGCCTACCATATATTAGGCAACCCATTCTAATACGATGGTTAATTTTTTGCCATTTAAATTGCAATTACACCAAACATTTCTATTTTAGTGAAAGGTTTTTGTTCTCCTTGAACAAAAAGGCCCATTGCTTACCTTCCTTGACTTTTTACTATTATTCTACAAACACTTATAGTATGTTTGAATTGAGGAGAGGGAAAAAAAAATTATTTAGTTAAAAAATGGAGGGGAGGGGAGGGGAGGGGAGGGAAATGAAAGGATCATTTCTCTTCCCTCTTGTCTTCTCTATTTTTTCCAAACTACATATACTAATAATTCTCATGCAGTTTGGTGGTGATTAAGGAAGTGAAGCAAGCCCAGAGTTACTGCTACACAAAAATATTGTAAATGTGATTAGTTTAGTTATTAAAATTAATTAATATTTATAATTATCAATGGATAATTAATAACGTAATTAATATTTATTATTTAATAATTTAAAATTAATCAATAAATTAATATTCCTAAACATATCTACAATATCTTAAAGGACCTTGATAAATAATAATCACTATTTGTTACCCCGGAAGAACAGGTTTGGCCTCCGTACTTGGAAATGATTTTGATAATAAGGACTCCTTATAAACTTCCTTTACAGAAAAGATCATGTACTTTGTAGGATCCCATCAGAATCCTTATAAATTGCTCTTTCTGTTAAGTTGATTCCTTTCGTTTTCAAATAGCAAATTATTCTATTTTATTTTTAAATTTAAAATTTATTAATACTTTTTATTTTTATTTTTTATTAAAAAAACAAAAATAAAAACATTATTTTACCAAATGATGAATAATCAAAACTATTAGCACAAAGACTACGATACATATGACAAGTTTCAACCAACAGTAGGAGCTAACAATTCATGATGAAATTGTTGAAGATACTGATGGGAGTGAAAATTTTTATCCAAACTCAGATGCACTTACTAGCTTGGTAGATTCTGACATGAAAGCATCTTTCTGCCCCAAGATTCAGTGAATTTCGAGAGGAAACTGACATGGAAAATCTAGCCTTCAAGATTGGTCAATTGTTTGCATCAAAAGAACAATTCAAACAAGCTGTTGAGACATATGACATTAACAATAAAAAGCTTGTGAAGTTTGAGAGAGACCACAAGGATAGAGTTAATGTGCAGTGCGTGGAACTGTGTCCATGGAAACTTCATGCATCAAAGGCGTCTAACGATGGAAAAGATCCAACATTTCAAGTGAAAATATATGTTGATAATCACACTTGCTACACTAATTCGAAGAACCCCAGAATGACAACAACTTGGCTTAGCCGAAAATATCTCCATCCCTTTTAAGCTGATGCTAATCTTTCAATACCAACATTTGAAGATATTGTGTACCAAGACTACATTATTATTGTGCCTAGAGTGACTTTTTGGAGAGCTAGGGAATTGGCAAAGATTAGATTGGCAGGTACAGATAAAGAGCAGTACAAAATGATTGGGAGATATATCAAGGAGCTAGAAAAGGCAAATGAGAGGAACACAACAATATGCAAGCTATTTGATAATGGAATGTTTGATAGCTTTTATGTTTGTTTAGCTCCATGCAAACAAGGCTTTATTGCTAGTTGTAGACCAATAATATGCTTGGATGGTTGTTGGTTAAAAGGCAGATATGGGGCTCAATTACTCACAACCATTGGTATTGATGCTAATGATTGCATTTACCTCATTACATGGGCCACAGTTGGTACGGAGTGCAAAGAAACATGGATATGGTTTTTACAAAATTTAAAAAAGGACTTGGTGATTGATGATGAAAATAATCATAATTATAGCATTATGTCTGATAAACAAAAGGTGAGATAACTAGAACATTTACTTAACAATTTATAGTTACGCTTAAAAAAAAAACATGTTACTAATGTTTTTATATTTTTTTTAATTATAGGGACTAGTTTATGCTGTTGAAGTTGCGTTACCTATCTCTGAACATAGATTTTGTGTTAGACACCTATATAATAATTTCAAGACAGAACATAGGGGCAAGGGGTTGAAAGATGCTTTGTGGAGTGTAGTAAGAGCCACTACAGTTGATGAATTTGAAAGGTGTATGCAAAAAATCAAGGAATTAGATGTCAATGCCTACAATTGGTTGGCGAGTAAGCCACCTCAACAGTGGTCCAAATCAAGGTTTGATACCTACCCCAAATGTGATATTCTAGTGAATAACTTGTGTGAGTACTTCAATAGAGTTATACTTGATGCAAAGGATAGGCCTATGTTGAGCATGAATGAGGAATTGAGATCTAAATTGATGAAAAGATTTTATAGAAGGAGGAAATTAGGTGAGAAGTTTCCTGGTAAAGTGTGCCCTAGAATAATGAAGAAGCTTATGACAAACCAAAAGCTTTTCAGAAAATATTGGCCTGAACCTTCAACAATTAAAAAATTCCATGTTAGAAGCCTCAACCACCAATACATTGTTGACCTTGATGAGAGAAGATGCAGTTATAGAAGGTGGGATTTGAATGGCACACCTTGTGCGCATGCAATAGCAACTATGTCTCATAATAATGAGGATCTAGAAGCTTATATTGCACATTGGTATTCTGTTGAGATGTTTGTAAGATCATATGCTTTTGAAATTGATTGCATCAATGGTCAGGACATATGGCCAAAAAGTTCCTTGCTTCCATAGCCTTCACCATTAAAGAAGACTATTGCTGGCAAACCAAAAAAGAAGAGA